TGCTGGTGTTCAGCCTCTACTGAAAAAACCTAGCCTTGACCCCTCAGTGGTGTCCAGCTTTAAGCCTGTCTCTAGACTCCCATTTGTTTCCAAATTACTGGGGAAAAAAAAGCTGATTTCCAGTTAAAATGTTTCCTGGAGGATCTCTCTATTTTAGAGGTGTTTCAAGTCATCAGATCTCTCCACAGCACTGAGACTGTTCTATTGAGTGTTTTAGTGATATAATGATTTAATGATGTAAAAGGCTGGTTGGCTGTGAACTTCTTAAAGTTTAATGAGGAAAGACTGAGGTGATGGTCTTTGGAAGCTCCACTGAGACTCCCAATGTAGATGTTGGGTCCTTGGCCCAGTATATCAGGCCAACTTTTACAAACTTGGGTGAAAGTCGATGCTGGACTAAAGTTAGAAAATCATGCAGTTGTTAAATCTTTTTTTTCTATCTGAGGCAGCTGGCTAAAGTAAAGCTGATTCTTTGTCAGTGGCATTTTGAAACAGTAATCCACACCTTTGTGACCACTCAGCTGGATTACTGTAAAACACTATACAGGAATCAGTGACTCGTGTATCTCTCAGCTTCAGAGGGTACAGAACGCTACTGCACGGCTTTTAAGTGGCACATGAAAGTTTGACCACATTTCTCCTGTTTTAGCCTTCCTGCACTGGCTACCCGTACATTCCAGGATTCATTTTAAAATTATTTCATTTGCTTTTAAAACTCTTAATGGACTTGCTCCGCCCTGTCTGTCCGAGTTGCTGCATCCATACACACCCTCTCGATCCCTCAGGTCATGTGATCAGCTGCTCCTGAGTGTGCCGAAGACAAAGTGTAAGCTCAGAGGAGACCGTGCTGTGGCAGCTCCTACACTGTGGAACAACCTTCCCTTGAACATCAGACAGGCCTCTTCCCTGTCTGTTTTTAAATCCTTTCTTAAAAGCCATCTCTTCTCCCTGGCCTTTGACACCATCTGAAATGTTGACTTTTAATCATTTTTGATAGTTTTTTTATTATCTGACTATATGATAGCTTTATTATGTGTACAGCACTTTTATCCTGTGGGTGTTTAAAGTGCTCTATAAATTAAGTTGGTATGGTATGGTATGGTATGTTTTCCTAGCCACAGATGCAGGTGACTCTGTGCTGCTTGTCCTTTTGAACCTTACATCTGCTTTTGACACCATTGACCATGATATCCTCATTTCTAGGCTGGAGCAGTGGGAGGGCATCACAGGGACGGCCCTTAAATGGTTTACGTCCTACTCTGACAGAACCTTTTGTGTCATCAAGGATTTTATTTCAGGGGTATCGCAGGGATCCATCTTCGGTCCTCTTCTCTTTTCTTTATACCTGCTGCCACTAGGTGCTATTTTTTGTAAACAGAACATACCGGTTCATTTTTACGCTGATGACTGTCAAATTTACTTCCCTCTGAAGCACACTGGTGCACACTCTTATCAAATCTCATCTTGACTGCCTGGTTGACATCAGGGACTGGATGGCTTTAAATTTCTTAAACTTTAATGAGAAAAACAGAAATCATGTTGTTTCCACCTAATGGCACAATCGGGAACCACTGTATCAACCTTTCCTCTCTAGCCCCGTTAGAGAAACAAGTGGTCACTAATCTGGGAGTGAAAATGGACCCTTGCTTGAAACTTTTTCATTCCTTCATTCAACCTTTATTTATACAGTTTAGTCTCATTGAGCCTCGAGCACTCATTTACAAGAGAGACCTGTTTTAAACAAAGAACATAGACAAGGTACAGACAACATATAAAAGTATATAAAATGAAAAGTAAATAGAAGAAATTATAAATAAAAAACTAAACAAAAACAGCTACATTATAAAGGAGTGTAAAATACTAAAAACAGGAACATGTCTGCATTGGTTTTTGCCATGTGATTAACAGTCATGTAAACATGATTGTTAAATCCTGTTTTTTTCAGTTGAGCCCACAGTCTAAATTGGAGACAATATTTTCCTAAAGTAACCTTGAGACAGTGATCCATGCATTCATAACATCCAGGCTCGATTACTGTAATGTGCTTCTTTTTGGAATCAGTCAGACCTCTATTGCATGACTACAAATGGTCCAACATGCTGCAGCCTGATTTTTAACTGGTACAGGCAAAAGAGAGCACATTCCTCCAGTTCTGGCCTCTCTTGACTGGCTCCCAGTTCACATTCGAATTCATTTTAAAATCTCCTGATGCATGCTCAACAATCCAGGTAGAAACATCTAAAATAGTTAAGTCTGGTCCTCTGGATAGGTTCAAAAACCAAATAATTGTAGAAACGTTTCGTCTTTCATCCGAAAGACTTCTTCAGTCTGCTTCTTCAAACTGAATAAGTCTTTCTGATGAAAGATGAAACATTTCTACAATTATTCGTTTTTTGAACCTATCCAAAGGACCAGACTTAACTTTTTTAAGATCATTTTAAAATACCTCCTGTATGTTTTTAAATCTCTGAACAGTTCTGCCCCATCCTATCTCACTGATCTGCTGCAGCCATATGTGCCACATCGCTCTCTGAGGTCAGATCAGATGCTTTATTGGTTCCAGGCACTCCTTCTAAGCTCAGAGGTGACAGGTTCTTCTCTGTTGCAGGTCCAAAACTGTTGAATGAGTTACCACTGCATGTCAGACAGACTCCCTCTCTCACTGTTTTTACGTCTCGTTTAAAAACTCACTTTTATTCCCTGACTTTTGACACTGAGTGAGCTGATTTTAACTTGTCTGTTTTCTATAATGTTAGTTATTTAGTTCTTATCTTTACCTAGTTGAATCTATGTTTTTTGGCTGTGTCCTTTGCTTGTTTGTTTCTGCTGTACAGCACTTTGGTTGGCCTTGTTGCTGTTTTAAGTGCTTTATAAATAAAATGGTATGGTATTTAACAGTGCTATTTACAAGGAAGCCTGGAACACCTGAGGAGGGAGGAAATAGGGTGAGTCAAGGACAATAGGAGAACATTTGGTGAGTCTCAGGTTGTTGAACTCTTACTGGATGGTGGAGACCTCGGCACGTTGAGAAGAGAGTAAGTGATTCCAGGCAGAGGTAAGTTGCAGGGCTTGTGGTGGAATGGCGGCTGAGCAGCTGAAGGTAAGTACGGTTGCTTTGCTGGCACAAGGAAGTAGATGAGGGATCCAGGGTAGGAGACTCATGAGGCATGCTGTAGGAGCACAAGGAGAAAACGAGGTGAGTATTAATCTTTAGTTAACAAACCAATAGAAGGCTGAAAGCAACCACCAATAGGTATGCAATGCTCCAGCAAGGAAGGGAGCTCCTTCCAGAGCAGTCCTTTCTACTCCTGGAGCTTGTTAGGAGGATCACCCACAGCTGCTGCTCATTCGTGCTGCCCAGGAACCGGGGGGAAAAGCTGAATCCCTTCTGTGGATATATAGAATTATTTGCGAGCATAATTATTCCAATAATGTGGGGAGTGGTGGCACAGAGGTTAGAAGATGGGCCTGTGATTGGAAAGTTGCAGGTTCAACTCCCGGTACCGTCAACAACAAAATGTGGGTGGAAAAGGTGGAACACCCACATCTTCCTCCACCCTTATTTGCCCCACTCTGGGCCCCTGAGCAAGGCCCTTAACCCCCACCATCTGCTCCCTAAACAGGTCTCTCTTGAAAATGAGTTCTCGTGGCTCAATGAGACTACCTGGATAAATAAAGGGTAAATGAAAAATAAATTAAATGTCTCCTTCCATTCAGGAATACACCTCCAACCGTATTTCATTCTCTTCCTATGAGATCCCTTTTTCCTCTCCACACCACAGCTCTATTGAAAGTACCTCAGATAGAAGAAACCACTGCTCACAGTTGTAGAAACATTCTAATAATGGCTTTTGGAGTTTGAAATTTCTGATACTCCGTTACTCGAGATTCAGGGATTAATATAGTATCAGACGTGTGGTTCTTTGTTTGCACCATGTGTTTGTGTGAGTTTATCATGATCAGGCAATGCTGCTTCATAAAAACAGGACTGCTAGATGTAAAATAAATTTGAAGCCGAGCGTTTGAAAAATCCACAAGACTTTCTCTGTACGATTGAAGTCGTGAAAAATGGGGGGAAATCTCGAATTTCCAGACATTCTGTAAGAGTTGACATGTGTGCATCTGGTGGGAGATCTGCATCAAATCTGAAGGATTCTTGATGAAACTGTACAAATGTTATTTTTAAAGAAAAGAAAAGAGGTTTTCTCCTGCAGCTCGTCTAAATAATCCAGTCCTGTTCAGTCTTTTTCAAAATGACCCGTGATGACTATAGCTTACTAACTGAGGCCTGTGGAGTCTTACGGTCTGACCGCAGGGTGAGTTTGCTGACTTGTCCACTTTGGGGAGGACCGGCAGCTGTCTTAAGTGTTCTCCACTTGTGAATACTGTTTCTCCCTGTAGAACAATGGACTCCAAACTGGAAATGACCGTCAAGCCTCAGATTAGAACATGTGATCAAACATCGTTGGTGTGAGCAGATATTCCTAAACCCTGTGGAGTTTGGAAAAATGGACTTAGTTTTTGTCTCTGACCTCAGATGAGCAAATATGTTTATTTCCTAACCCGAGGATATACTAAAAGCTTAAATATAATACGTGTCAGGTTGTTGGGGGGGACTTCCTGTCTTTAGGAGACCTGCCTTTCACACACTAGTCATCTGCTGTGGACATCCTGTCACCATGAAAACCTGGCCACAACCTTTCATTTGTCTGTCTGTTAGTAAAATATTTCCTAAACCACTGCACATATTTTAACAGTACTCTTAGAGTAGCTATCAACTAGTAATAATCAACCAGATTCAAGATGGCTGCCACAGCTAATCCACCTCAGCTGACATAAACGTGACCTTACTCATTTAATTTTAAATATACTGAGCTAAACTTTGATGTGGTTGTAGCTGAGAGTTGTCCCCGTTGCATCTGTTGAGCTCTATATTTATGAGGAGAATATGTGCTGAGCCTCTGAATATTTGCAGCTGTACGTGTTTTGTGTCCCTTTAGGCTCGTCAAGCTGTTGAAGTGGACATTTTCGAGCGGCTGCCTGTCCCGTTTGGACTGGTCCGGTTTGGAGTGGCCCCCGATCATCCTGAAGTCAAGGTGTCGTCTCCTCCCTCGGATATGTTGAATTTCTTGAAAACCTTCTCTTTCAAAACAAAAAAACACATTTTGTTGCTTTATCATCCTCCATGACCTCGGATGCACTCAGTAGTGGTTCCTGTTGATGCAGGGGTTGTAACAGAACGTAGCTGGAGGTTCTGGAGAATGAGAACACCTCCCACACACAGAGGTTTCTGATGTACTTCAGTTTCACTCAGACTGATCAGTCACAGCTTGCACAAAAGTGAAATTGCTGGACGAGGAAATGTTTTAGTGAACTAACAGGATGTCTGTCAGTGAAGCATGAAAAACATTTTTTTTATGTTTTTTTACCACACGCTATGAAATATTATGTAAACACATTAGGTTTTAAGCAGGAGGATAACAATGACCCTGTGAAACTATGTGTTAATCTTTTTAACTTATCTAAATGTTTATTTTGCTTCTGGTTTTCCTCGTACTGTAAACTCAGTCTGATCTTAATCGCAACCAACGTGATTATAATCGTGCAACATCGGAGGATAATTTCCTTCTTCCAGTAGATTCTAATAAAATTAGGCTTTTTATTAGTCATTTCTTAACAACAAAACCTAAAAACATAATACTGTAGATGCATGTCTAAAAGTGCAGCTGTATTATAATTGATCATAAATGAACATTTTTATTCACTGCTAACTTTGCAAGTTTACTCGCCACGAACAGTATCTAACGTTGTGTCGTTTTATTATCAGAAAGAGTCCGAGAATAAACAAAAACCCAGGAAAAGCATGTTTCTTTCTGCTAACTTCAAATTTTTTCTGCTAATTTTTGTTGGAGAAAAATGTTCTCACTTTAACCAACAATGTTCAGTCAGATCATCTGGATGGTTCCTTTTTGTCTGAGACGTTTCGTCCTTCTTCCGACGGACTTCTTCAGTCTTATCACCAGCAAACTGTTTTTTGTTTTTTTTTTGGTCCACTAAGGGAGTTGGTGCTTGTGGGACTCCAGTTTGTTTGTGGCTCCTTGGACTGAAGAAGTCCTTTGGATGAAGGACGAAACGTCTCAGCAAAAGAAAAGAAACCGTCCAGATGACCTGACTGAACATTGATGGATTTTTACCTGGATTCATGAGCATGAACTTTGGTATTCTCACTTTATCTCACGTACTCAAAAGGAGCGATGCTCGGCGACAGGAAAATAATTTTAACTGGTTTTTACTTACAAGGTCAGATTTTCAGGACGAGTTACACAGATGTACAGGAAGTACACACAGATATACAGGAAATACACACAGATATACAGGAAATACACACAGATATACAGGAAGTACACACGGATATACAGGAAGTGCACACAGATATACAGGAAGTGCACACAGATATACAGGAAGTATACACAGATATACAGGAAGTATACACAGATATACAGGAAATACACACAGATATACAGGAAGTACACACAAATACGCAGGAAGTGCACACAGATATACTGGAAATGCACACAGATATACAAGAAGTGCACACAGGTGTCCAGGAAATACACACATACACACAGATAAACAGGAAGTGCAAACAGATATACAGGAAGTGCACACAGATATACAGGAAGTACACACAGATAAACAGGAAGTGCAAACAGATATACAGGAAGTGCAAACAGATATACAGGAAGTACACACAGGTATACAAGAACTGCACACAGATATCCAGGAAGTGCACACAGGTGTCCAGGAAGTGCACACAGGTGTCCAGGAAATACACACAGATAAACAGGAAGTGCAAACGATACACAAGAAGTGCACACAGAAATACAGGAAGTACACACAGATATACAGGAAGTACACACAGATGAACAGGAAGTGCAAACAGATATACAGGAAGTGCAAACAGATATACATAAGGTACACACAGGTATACAGGATATACACACAGATATACATAAAGTACACACAGGTATACAGGATATACACACAGTTATACAGGAAGTACACATGAAGACCAGTCATGAGAATCTGCCCCGAATCGTCTGTGAAGCTTGTTTTTATACTCTGGTCCTTACCTTAAAGCGACAGCTTAACGCCATAGTGGTTAAAAACATCCATAACCTTTGACCAAAAATTCCCTAATAATTGTTGCCTTTTTTCCTGCACATTTTAAAGTGGCCTTTTATTGTGGTCAGTCTAAGGCCCACCTGTGCAGTAAACATGCTGTCTAACCATCACCTTCATATGCCACACCTGTGAGGTGGATGGATCATCTCAGCAAAGGAGAAGTGCTCATTAACAGATTTATACAAACTTGTGAACAATATTTGACAGAAAAAGGTCAGTTGTGTTTATAGAAAAAGTCTTCAGCTCATGAAAAATGGGAGCAAAAATATATTTTTGTTCAGCGTAGTGAGGCGATACATTTTCATAAGTCATTATGATGATAGCTGAAGTAACTTCCTCTGAACTGTGTGTAACAGCAAGAACACAAACTATTCTTTTTTTTATCTTATCAGAACGTCATCAATACTTTCACGCAAACAGCTAAACACTCACGCTGCAGCTTCTACGGCAACGTGAGCGTTGGTAAGGATGTAAGTGTCAGCGAGCTGCAACAAGCCTACCACGCCGTAGTCCTGGTGAGAACACAAAGTCTGCGTGCTCCTCCATGATAAGATCACTTAGATGTAGAACTCGAACTTATGTTCTCTCTTTGTTTTGTCTAAATGGTCTGATAGAGTTATGGGGCAGAGGGAAACCGGCGTATGGGGGTTCCAGGAGAGGACTTGGCTGGTGTGTACTCAGCCAAAGACTTCGTGGGCTGGTACAACGGGGTGCCCAACTGTCAGAAGGTTTGACATCAAATCAGAGAGCGTGAATCAAACATTTTCTCCTGTATTTTCCACTTACCAACGTTTTTCCACATATCTTTGATTCAGCTCAGTCCAGACCTGAGCTGTGACACAGCTGTCGTTCTGGGGCAAGGCAACGTGGCTTTAGATGTCGCCAGAATCCTGCTGTGCCCCGTCGATGCTTTAAAGGTGAGGAACACAAACAAAAAGTGAAAGTAGCACTCCTTGAAGGAATTCGTATCGCTTTCCGTCTCGCATACCAAACTTTGAACATAGTTGGAACAATAAATCAAAGCTTTGCTTTTTTTGCTCGATTTCCTCTTCACCATGACAGGCTGGAGCAATGCCCTCATTACTGTGAACAGGGCTCCTATCTGTCAATCTGTTCCACATAAACAAGATGAACTCCTCTGACTGAGACATTCGTCTCAGACCCAGGAGAAGGATTTCACCTTTTTTTCCACTGAGAATTGTGGCCTCAGACTCCATGTGCCTCACACTTGGCTGTAGACCACCCCAGCGCTCGCTGAAGGTCATGGTCTGCAGACCCCAATAATGGTTGAGACTCTCAGGTTCCAGAACAGGACTCCCTCCTTGACTGGGCCTTGATCCTGTCCACGAATTCCACAACCAGGGTCAGATTTGTCTCTGGTGGAGTCCAACCTGCACCAGGAACAAACTGGACTTTACACCAGAGGACTGCTCTTTTTCTTCCTTTCTTTCTTCTTCTTTCGGCTGCTTCCTTCTTCAGGGGTTGCCACAGTGAACTAACTCACATGAAGACTTGACGATAGTTTTTACGCGGGATCTCCTTCATGACACAACCACAGACCACCGAGCTACCACAGCCCTCTGTGTGGAGCAGAGAGCTGACATCTAGGGCTCCCGGGGGAGCAGATGGTCGGGGTTTAGGGCCTTGCTCAAGGGCCCAGAGTGGGGCAAATGATGGGGAGGCAGGTGTGGCTGTTTCACCTTTCCCACCCACATTTTGATGTTGCCGGTCCGGGGAGTTGAACCAGCGACCTTCTGATCACAAGTCACCTTCTCTAACTTCTGTGCCAGAACTCCCCCAGAGGACTGTAAATACCTTCACATGATTGTACACATACTGGACCACGTATAAAGATATAACAAAAGAAATACAAACCGGATTCCAAAAAATTTGGGCCACTAAACAAATTGTGAATAAAAACTGAATGCAATGATGTGGAGGTGCCAACATCTAATATTTTATTCAGAATAGAACACAAATCACAGATCAAAAGTTGAAACTGAGAGAATGTATAATTTTAAGGGAAAAATCTGTTGTTTCCAAATTTCATGGCATCAACAAATCCCAAAAAAGTTGGGACAAGTCCATTTTTACCACTGTGTGGCATCCCCCCCTTCTTCTTACAACACAACAGACATCTTGGGACATAGGAGACCAGTTTCTCAAGTTTAGAAATAGGAATGCTCTCCCATTCATGTCTAATACAGGCCTCTAACTGTTCAATCGTCTTGGGCCTTCTTTGTCGCACCTTCCTCTTTATGATGCGCCAAATGTTCTCTATAGGTGAAAGATCTGGACTGCAGGCTGGCCATTTCAGTACCCGGATCCTTCTCCTAC